CCCTTCAGCTCAAAAATGTAAAGCAAGAATTTTTATGACTCTGCTAATGGGAATCTCAAGAACAAAAACTGTAAAGAATGAAACTTGACACACCTTCGCTTCCAGGTTGATACCAACCGATTTAAGGAAGTACATTAATAAAGAAAGATTAACAGCTTCAAACTTCAAATATATTTTACAATAAAGAAAGACAATTACAAAGCATAATAATAAAGACAAGAGTAGGCTGACAATTTTAGACAAGCCCATGCTAGCCATAACAGGAACTTCAAACCCAAAAAGCACTTATTCAGGAAACATTAAATTAGAAGCTCTAAACCATCAACTCTGCAACTAGCTTCTTCTTTGAACAAGTCTTCTGGCTTTCCTCATCTTCCTTCGGCTTTGACTACTTTTGGATGAAAATTTTATTGTGCATTTCAAATTTCAATTGTGTTGCACGAAACCCAAACACTTGGATCCGAAAATCAAGGGGGTCGATTGATAGCAGCGGATTTAGGTGCCTCAAGCCCCCACAATAGTTATAGCTGAAGGAAAATGTTAAAAATTCAGGAAAAAAAAAAAACCGAAACTGTATTCCCTTTCTCAATCCTATTCCTTCTGCCCGTTGGAATTGAGCATGCTAGGTGACGAGGTAAAAACAGAGGTTGAGGGAGAATAGGATGGGTATTGATGGATTTGCCGCAGATCGAACGCAGGAGTTGGGATTCATAATAGAAGAGGAACCCTAAAGAGGTGAAATTGAGGTGAGTCTGTGATGCTAATAATGTCCCTTCATCTGTGGAAATGGAGGCTACTTCCATCTGGATTCTTTCTGTTGTGAAGGAAGATGCTACCGAAAGCGAGTGCCAGAGAGAGAGACCGAAGCCCAAATTATAAGACTTACCCTTCTCAACAAGACTATTACAGTTATATCCCCAAGACGATAAACATCTAAAAATCCAGATTCCATCAAAATCCCATCTCAAAATTCAAACTTCCGCATTTCCCCCTTCAGCGCATCTCAAAATCCAGATTTTTATGAGGTTGCTAATGGGAATCTCTAGAACAAAAACTCGACGTATCTTCGCTACCAGTTTGATACCATACCAACCAGCTTAAAGGAAGTAGATTAATTGGACATGCACATACAACTAAGAAAGATTAACAGCTTAAACCTTCGAATATATTTTAAATCTGCTGTCGCACCCGCCCAGATTGTAAAACACTTTCTCAATATATTTTACAATAAAGAAAGACAAAATTACAAAGCATAATAAAGACAAGAGAAGGCTGACAATTTTAGACAAGCCACTGCCAGCCATAACCATAACAAGAACTTCAAACCCGAAAAGCACTTATTCAGGAAACATTAAATCAGAAGCTCTAAAACATCAACTCTGCAACCAGCTTCTTCTTTGAACAAGTCTTCTGGCTTTCCTCATTTTCCTTCCACTTGGACTTGGTCGGCCATCAAACAAAGACACAAACCATTTCGGTTTTCCTGTTCGGAAGACAAGATATCCCATCAGCAGTCCAAAAATAACTCCACATCCATAGCCTAACACCACAACTCTCCAGCCAAATCTCCACAACTCATCTTTTTCTTGGAAGGAGCTCGGTGGTGTCCCAATTCCATCACAAGATTTTGACAATGGGATTCCACACAGTTCAAGGTTTCCTTCATAAGAACCATTTCCAAAGGTGTTGAACTGATTGCCCTGTGGTATGCGTCCGCCAAGATGATTATTTGAAAGATTCAACACAGAAAGTTGTGTCAAAGATACCAATTCATCTGGAATTTTCCCCGCCAGCTCGTTGGAAGAGAGATCCAACCATTCCAGATTCATCAAATTCCCTAGTGACGGTGGGATATGACCAGTAAGGTTGTTATGAGAAAGATTAAGCCCTTTGAGAGAACTAAGGTTTCCAATAACATCTGGAATTTCCCCCTCAAACATGTTATTTGAGAGATGAATACTACTGAATACGGTCAAGATTCCCTGCAGCTCATAGTCGAATCCCTTCCATGTCACAACCAGTGAATATTGATAAGAAATGGCTCCCATCCTCACCTTCATGTATTCAGGGGAACCGTCATCTTTACGAGGATCCATCATCGCACCAAAATTTTCAATGTACCGAACAGGCAAAGCACCAACAAAATAATTGCTGGAGAGGTCCAGAACTCGCAACTCGGGAAAAGATGGACCTTCTTTGGTGCTATGCACGAAACGTGAAACTTGTTGGCCCTTAAGACAAGAACTTGAAGCTCTAGTAGAGATTCCAACCACTGAGGGAATGTATCACTTATGTTGTTGTTGCCAACGTCTAGAACCTGTAAAATGCGACAATTCACCAAAGACCTTGGTAATAAGCCATTCATTTGATTTCCATGCAAGTTGAGATTTATTAATCCACAGGCCTCTGGAAACCCAAATGGTATATTTCCATCAAAATTATTGCCCTGCAAATTCAACACTGAGAGAGACTTAGGAAGACAATTTGGAATCTTCCCGATTAAACTGTTATGAGAAAGGTCAAGAATTTCGAGATCATCCTTTTCACATATCCATTCGGGAATATTTCCATGAATGCTATTTTTGGATAGCACTAGGCTTTGCAGACCATTTGAATGTCTTATGAAATTGGGGAATTCACTCAAGTTACAAGAAGAAAAGGAAACATCAGTTAGCATGGGTAATGTGAAGTTGGCATTGACATTCATTCTCAAGGACAGATTATTGTCTGAAAGAAAGATGGTTTCCAGATTTTGAAGCACCGAGAACTTGTCAAGTTCTACTAAACCAGTAAAAAGATTTGATGATAAACCAAGATAATTAAGATTTACTAAATTAGCAATTGAGTTAGGGATTGAGCCCTGGAGTTTATTGTTTGACAAATCTAGCTCTACGAGTGAGTTTTGCTGGAATTGATTTATTTGACCTTGAAATTGGTTATGATTGAGATGCAAGTACTCTAACAATGGTAGGGTGAAAATCCAAGGTGGCAACGTGCCATTAAGTAAGTTATAAGATAAGTCTAGATCCCTTAGTTTGGAAAACCTAATAGCATGAAAAGGAATGGAACCAGAAAACTGATTATTTGAAAGGTCAAGAGAGGCAAGTTGGGTGAGGTTTGCAAGTGATGGTTGGATTTGTCCACTAAGATTGTTAGAATAGAGGACTAGGCTAGTAAGTTGCCTTAAGTTACCTATGGAAGCTGGAATGGGACCAGAAAACTGATTAAAGGAAAGGTAAAGATAGGTAAGTTGTGTGAGGTTTGCAAGTGATGGTGGGATTTGTCCGTTAAGATTATTAGAAAAGAGGTATAGGCTAGTAAGTTGCCTTAAGTTCCCTATGGAAGCTGGAATGGAACCTTCCAAGTTGCAGAAAAGAGTCAGAGACTGTAATGACTTTAGATCTCCTATAGACTCTGGCAATCGCCTTCCGCAATCCATATCACCTAAATACAACCGTTGGAGAGGACTGCTCCAATTGGAACTTGGAAGATCAATAGTGAGGTTTCCCTTTCCACCTAAACTAAATCTCTTGAGATTTGGAAAGCGGAAAATACTGTTTGGAAAGTTTCCTCTTAACTGACAATTAAAAAGACGAAGAGAAGTCAAAGAAGAAGAGAGATTCATGAAGAAACAAGGATTAACAGAAGTCATGTTCACTCCACTAAGCACAAGTTCTCTCACCTCGCTCAAGTTGTGAACAAGATTTCTGAAGGTAGTTGTTTCAAGGATCAAGTCAGGAGAATTATCATGGAAGTAACTAGAGAGGTTGAGAGAAACTAACTTGGGGAGGTGAGCAATTTCTCTCGGAACTTGGCCCGAAAACTGAGAAGAAGAGACATCAAGATGCTTTAGTCTAGTGAATTGACTGATTTCCGATGGAATCTTGGAATGCCTAAAATCATTCAAGGCAAGATTGAGGCTCTGCAGGTTTCTGAGGAAGAAAAGAGTGCTGTTGGAAGGAAAGGTGCCATAAAGGAAACTGCAGCTGAGATTAAGGGCAATTACATGGCCTGTGACATTATCACAGCTAACCCCATCCCAGGAACAACAGTCTATACCTTCCTTCCATGACTCAATCTTAGAATAATTTTCCACACAATAATCTGAATACGGAACAGTGTAATAGATGGAGAAGGATGTCTTGAATTGCAGCAAAGCAAGAGCCTCCTCATGAGAGCAGAGATGCGTTGTTGAGAAGGAAGAAGCATGTATGGAGGATGAGAAGGCAGTTTTAAGACAGAGGAAGACAAAAAGGAGGCAGAGTGGTGCAGAGAGCTTTGTGAAGATCCTCATATCTTTGTTTGGCGCAATAGAGTGCTCTAGAAGAGTATATATATAGTATTTCAAATTGAGCTATGCTAATAATTGAAGAGGAGTGCTAGGGACACTCGCCTCCTGCACTCTGCGGCCAACGCTTTCACTCTTATTGGGCCACGTTATTCTGGTTGGTAAGAGCGAAGCCAAACAACCTTACGTGGCCCAATGAAAACGGAAGTGTTGGCCACAGAGTGCAAAAGGCGAGTGACCCTAGCACTGCTCATAATTGAATATATTCCATCAAAATAAAAATAAATGAATATAGAACGTAATAGTGACATGATGTCATTTTTTAATCTACTTTCTAATTTCTATTTTATTTATTATTTTGAAATTAAATAGAGTAACGAAGAATTATAATCACATTTCCATTGAAGTTTGGTGCAGTAGAGTACTTAAGAACAGTATATATAGTGTTTAAAATTGAGGGATGGTAATAATTAAATATATTCCATTAAAACAAAAATAAATGAATATAAAAAATAATATTGACGCTGCGGTGATATAATTTTTTAATCTATTTTTTTATTTCTTTTTTATTTATTATTTTGAAAGTAGACGGAGTAATTAAATATTATAATCACATTATTAACAAGTCTTCAAATAATAATTTAAATCTCAATAAAAAATTATTATTTGTGTTATTTTGTGATATAGAAAAGATATTTTTCTTACTTAAAAATTAGAATTAATAATTTAAAAAAATTATTTATTTACATTTTTTAATATATATA